AATTTAAGATCTACACATTGGAAAAAAAAGAAAAAAAGCCAGAAAACCAGCCCACTGACTAAAGGCTCCATCTCTGCTCAGTGGCTCACTTCAGGCCAGCCTGCGGGGCTTGCGGGGCAGGGGTGGGCACGGTCCCCGCTGAGGATGCTGCCTGCCCCCAGCTCTGCGGCTGCAGGTCTCTGCAGGCTGGCTGTAGGGGAGCTGCAGAAAGCAGAGTGACAGTGGAACAACATCTCCTCCACAAATTTGATGATTACTACAATGCTCACTTGACAGACCCGTATACTGTGGGCACATACAGACCATAGCCCACCTCTGCAGCTAAGCCTGGAAGAAAGTTCAGGGGTTTGATTCCAAATACATTTCTTTAGCCATGGAACTTGGTTTCCAGTGCTAGTCTATTGAATGAATCCTGGAAAGTAGCTACCACAGCTTTGATGTTGTTATTGTCCAGAAACATCTAGTTCTCCATCTTCTTTGTATTCCTTCTGGATAGTGAAGCTGCCTGTCCTGTTGCATTTGTTATCTTAAAAGCAAAACTTTATTCAGATTGGAGAAAATATAAAAAATTAGCATTTAAAAAATTACTTTGACTTTCTTGTATTCAAGGATTAGAAGATATTAATTTAAAGTTTTTCTTTGGTAAGTGGTCGTTTGAGATCTTGGTTTAGTTAATTCTAATGATGAATTTATAAATCTGTTAAATGAAAAAAAGTTAGAACAGAAACTTAAAAGTCGTACTGTATAATCATCATCATCATCTATTATAATTATGCTGTTGCAAGAAGGTAACTCTTGCTTGATTCCTAAACATTTTGCTTACTCTAAGCTGACGTTTCAGCTGCTTACTGTGACTGCTGAATCATAACCGACTTTGTACTACAGTCTTTTGTGCTCAAGAGGTGTTTGCAAAAGTGCCAGCAGTGCTCCCTTAACAGCATGCCACATCTATCAGTTTGCACTCTGGTGACGAGAAAACATAGCCATTACCTAGCCGGTTCTCCTTGGTTCTTTAACTTGGCTGGAAACTGGAAAGAAAATGTTCATGAGCTGCTTTAAGAAAACCCCGAACATAATTTGCAGCTGGAAAAAAAATCAATAAATGCTTATAATATTAAAGGAAGCTCTGTCAAAAATGCAAACGTTGTCACAGCACCAGATGGTATAGCTACAGAAATTTTCTTTATAGATCCCTTTTGAAGCCACACAAAAAGGCTGAGCAAATGGTTCAGGTGGGAATCTGAACCCACCTTTATCAGCTGAGTTCCTGAACCCAAACTCGTGCAAGTTCCAATTCAGCGACACTGTGTATGAGGCAAATGTCATCGTGCTTGTGTCTGCTGGGTCAGAGGATCACTGTGCTCTGGGATCCCATGTCCTCGCGTGCAGGGAGGAATTCAAACTTAAGGTTAGGATTCACCACGCTGTTGGGTTAGCATCCAAACTTGAACTTCAGTGGCATTGCCCTTCCCTTCAGAAAGGCCTAATGCTCTAATGTTCTGTAGTTAATGCTAAAATGCTGTGTAAAATACCTGCAAACGAAAAAAATTTCTGTAGATATATTTTGAAATTCTGAGTTCATCTCTGCATATCCTACGGAACAGTGAGCTTTTATTGATAAATTTCTTATGGCTTTTATAGAATCACGAATAGAAAAAGAATCCCCCCCCAATAGGAAAATAAATAAAATAAATAATAAACTGGGATACACCTACAAGAAATTGCTAATAATATTTTTAAGCCTAATTTCATAGGTAACTGGCTAAAATAAAATGGCTTAGCTAGAACTGTTAAAAATGAAGCAACAGTCAAGAATACCACAAAGCAACTAAAATAATCCAGTAAAACAGTTCAGAAGTTTTTAATAGGGCAACACCTTGCACAGGACTTTAAGATTTGGGGATTCGCTCTCTGTATATGTTTTACCTAAAACAAACAGGTAAAATTGGTTATTAGTCACTGCAGTTTTGTGCAGAGGTTGACAAGTTTGGAATGAATGAATAATTATGTGGTGCTTCCACATTATAATGTGGAATCAGTGTTGACATCTGCATGCCCATTTATTTATCTTGCTTTATGTGCAATTCCCTGTAAATTGGACACTGACTGCATTTGCCAAGCAGCAACATCCTAAGACATCTCCAGGAAAAAATATTCAGGCTTTTTATCTGCATTTCGTTGTCACAGATTGTTTTATAGATCTACTACGCATGTTTACAGCTTGCTTTACATTTGCTCTGTACCACCAAATAGTTTTACCGACAGAGCATTTCGTATGTGGATGCTTTTCAATTTATGGGGTATGTGTCAGCAAAAAATATGCATGGGCCTTGCAGGTCTTGAGTGACAGATAATAGGGTAAGAAATATGATAGGAAGGACATGGAAAATTGATGTCACGATACATACTATTGCGTGTGGTACACTAATGGTTATTTAGTGATGGGGAGGCAGAACAGTGTGAAATCCCAAGGGAAGGTAAAATGCTTACTTTAAGCATTATTTGTTAAGGGCAAACATAAGCTGAAACAGCTTGAAAGGAAACCCATGGCATGATTTGGGCTACGCCTGAGTTTGTCTAGAAGTTCTGTCCTCTTCCTAACTCCAGTTTCCATATCCCTTGTGCTGCTGCTGTGGGATAGGATGGGAAAATCTGTCATTCTTTAGCACAGTATCTGCACAAGGGGAAATTCTCCCTTGATTAATGAAGGGGCTCTTGCAATCATTTATATAACCACAGCTGGGCTTCCTAGGGCTCATTCCTTTGTGAACTGCATCTCCAGCATCCTCCTTTACATAGCAGAAGATGGAAAAGGATTTAGTAAAAACCTTTGTGGAAACTACTTAGTAGTGAAAAGTATTGTTTTTGGCAGCAGGGATAATACTTCCAGATATTCCTGAGTGTGTTATTCATTATATTCTTGAACTAGAGGGAAGTTTTAGATAAAATACTCATAAGGGGTAGACTATAATCTTTGGAAGATATAATATAATATTTGGAGGATAATGCAAAGATAGCTGAAATATCCAGGCCACTTCTGTGCATGCTCCCCTAGTATTATTTTGGCTAACAGCTCCATTTGGGGCAGTTTATTTGGAACCACAAGAGGTCTGTATCATGGGGATTGGCACACTGAAGATGAACATGTCCTTGCTTTTCCTTTTCTGGCTTGGATGAGAGAAAGAGAATATTTTTAGGCTTAAAAATACACACGGTTTGATGGGTCAGGGACCAAACTCTCTTCCTTGGCTAGTTATTGAGACAGCCCCAAACACTAAAATGTACAGAAGATCTTGTGCTCTTGGCAGCCCTGATGCAATGCATCCTAACAGCAATGTTTTGGTTTAGAATATTGTACTGGAAAGAAGCTGGGAACCCGAGAATTCAAATTTTCTTTCAGTGATAAATATGTGCCAGAACTTTACCTAAGCATCATGTTTTGGACCCCCACAACGCAGAAGAAACTATCCATTATTTGAATGGGAAGGATAAGACCCACCCTATCAGCACACTAGATCTTTTCCCACAAAGATCAGTCTGTGCATGGGCAGAGATTTCATTTTTATAACTGAGAATTTTTTTTTTTTTTTAATATTTCATCAGTGATTTATTGAAATCAAGCTAGAATAAATAGTACAGGGAGGCTGCAGGCTGTGGCTACCTGATGGCTCTAAGTACTCACAGTGGCTCCATGAAAGCTAGTTAAGTGTTGAACTGTACGAGATGCTAATAGTCCGAATAGAAATACTGTATTTTGCTCCTACAGGTAATGCATGAGACAGCATATTCTCTAATGAGATACTTTGTGCTGTAACAGAGAAAGACGGAGACTGAGGTTTGGATTTCTTATTTCAAGTTGTGTGTGATTTTTGCAGGGGATACCATAAATGAAGCAGTTTATTTCAGCCAGTGCAAAAATCTGGATGGGGAAACTCTGATGCTACACGGAGCTATACTGGGGGAAGATTTGCATCACACAATTTAGTCAATACAGGTTTTGTCACCGCCACTAACACCACCATTAATTCCATTACTGTATCGTGTATCTCACTGTCTGCACGGATGCTCTTTTAAGGCAAATCTTTCTGTCTAGCCAGCTGTCAGGCAGGCAGCACAGGTGGCCTCTTTCCTCTGCTGCAGTTACTACAGCAAGCTTTGTCCTGTGGTGCTGAAACCAAGAATATCTCCCCCTTAAAGCAAGAAATTTATTCTTTTATTCATACCACATTTTCATTATTAAGAAAAAATATGATTCATAAAACATTACCCTATGGCAACATGCAGACTTTAATATTAATGCCATTCTGTACAGAAAAAAAAAAATCCTCTGAAACAGAAAAGATTAAATTCAAGCATGAATAAATACTAGTATCTGCCTGGAAGCTACATCTGTGCCCTTTGTCTCCCATCTTTTGACATCCTGTGAACATCTCCAGAAAGTTACAGAACATTTTCTCTTGAGCAAAAAGCCCCTCATGGATATGGATGTGTTCAGTAGTCTTTGAGAAATGTCTAGAAGTCTTGTAATTTCTCACTCACACGGCTCCAGGCCGGCTGTATTCCTCAACCAGGCTTTACACAATAATTAGACAGTCGCTCAAATCATTGTTACTCAGTCCTTTCGCCTCAGAAAACGTTCCTTTCGTGAGATTCTGCCTGTTCTGCTGACTGATAAGAAAATGTGCATTCAAATTGGTCCTGCTTGTAAAAACTATGACCAACAACACCTTGCAATTCGAGAACCGTAAGCCTTAGGTTATTTCTAAGCATGAAACACGCTTCTGTGCTGAAACATCCAACCCTGTATTTTTAAGCTTTCATTTTATTTTTGGCAATCTTATCTCTGGAAGGCAGCATAACTGCAGCAATTGCACATCTCATTTCAGAAAAATAAAGAAACATTCATTTTCCATTTTAATGGTTTACTGGAAACTAGTTCACAGGGAATTAAGAGACTGATGATGAAGGAAAATGGAAAACAGCAAGACTCAATTACTCACCCGTGCTAGGCTGGTTCCAGAAGGAACTTTATATGGGACGTACTTCCTGTAGATATGCCCAACTCGAGAGCATGGAACATCAAACATGCCACCTCCGCACATCCACACCTGGAAAGAGGACACAAAGCAAATAAAAGAATGATTCCTGGAAACAAATGGGGCAATGAAGGCATTTTAAGCAATGGGTGTGTAAAAACGACACATCGTTCTATACTGACGCCTCCCACAGTCACAGTGGGGGCCTTCTCAGCACGCTGATAGCTGGGATTAGGTAATGTGGCAGACTGTCCTACCCGGAATCTCAGTGTGCAAAAGCAGAGTATGTTCAAAATAAAATCAGAAAACATATTTAGAGCATCTACCAATTATCCTCCTGCAAAACACCAAGATATTATTGTGTCTGTTGTTTAAAACATATGGAACCAAAATTTCAAAAGAAGGTTATGTGAGTAAAGCAAGCCACCAATCGGAAGAAAAAAATTTTTTTTTCCAAAACACCTGGCCTATATTTTGTTTTGAATACAGAGCTCAAATCCTAAGATGCTCTTCATTTTGTAAAGAAAAAGGAACAAAAATCAATTTAGTTCTGACCAAATTTATTTAGGCAGAGAAGGAAGATCATGCCGCTACATTTCATCATTAATACTTTAATACTGAAACAGATGGAACCATCTGGAGTGCACAGGTTTGATGCTTCAGGTCCGAGCAACCAGAAGTCAGTCAACATTGATGGGAGCTGCAAGTACTTCATGGCTCTAAAAATCAAGCTGTATCTTGATGGGCAGCAAGTAAGGAATTCTTCACAATTCTTCACCTAACATGACTTGGTTTTGCCAAGTGTACGTGAGAGCAAGGCTGTGTGTCACGTCAGAGGAACTATGGCAATCACATCAGTAACACCTATGGGCGTGATTTTCTATGCCCTGGCAATGCAGAGCCACCGAACTCCAATATGGCTATTAGACGACTTACGCAGCATACTGACAACATTCCTAACTTTCTGATTTCAAAAACAGCAATTTGACTTTGCAAAACAGAGAAATGGAAAACAACAACAAAACCACCCCAGCAGCCCCCAAGCAGAACTCTTTAAGTATCCTAAAACCAACCACACAGCAAGATTTTAACATTAGAGTGAAAACATGGATATTACAAAAATTATTTCCTAATCCTGGCAAAACAATTTTTTATTCCCCACAAATATTAGAATAGAATGGCTGTTATTCCATGTAAAGGACATTTGTGGCCTCAGCTTTCAGCCTTTAGACTGAAAACAAAAAAAATCCCAGCACCCTTCGACCCAATTTAAAAGAAAACCACACCCAAGCTGAGAAAGAGGAATGGCTTGTGCTTTCCGTGTCTCTTTATGTGGACATGCATAAAGGTGCTTCATGGAACATGTCCATGAATGTGGATGAGAATTTAGGTCCATGCATTACATATATGAAGGAATTTTATCTGTATTTGATGCACTCTGGAGCGAAATGGCGTGAAATAAGTTTGCGACTGAGGCTAAAGCAGAGCAGAACATAGACAACTGAAAGTTTCACCAACAATTTCCATACAGAAAGGAATTAATCCATAAGTTGATACGCTCTGAATTAAAACAACAGTAACCAGACCCTTAAAAAAAAGGTATCGGAAAATATGATGTGATCACAAATACTTGACATTCTGCACAAAGCCTGCAGGGAACAATGTGCATCTCTACGCTTTTTTTTTTACCATAAATTTCTCATTCCATCTCTTTTGTCCTGCCCACCAGCTGGCTGTAGCTACTGGCTTTTTGAAATTACAGGAAAACAAAATGATTAATTTTGTTCATTTAAAACAATAGTGGAAATGGGCAAGAGGTTGGCCTCAAAAAATACAGTGGGTATATCTGCCTGGTCCTGGCAGTGTGGCTGTGAGCTTGGGACTGAATTTTAGTAATCTGAACATGTAGATGCTAAACACTGCAATATGGGAGAACTCGGTGCTTGAGTGTGACTTAAAGCGCTTGCTGAAATTCAGTCCCTGAGACTGACTCTGCTATTCATACTGTCAACGGAGAAAACAGGGGGTTTAGAGTGAAGGCTTGAGTTGCAAAGTGATTTAGGAAGCCGCTTCTTATGGGTCATTGGTGAACTAGCCCTTACAGTCCCTTAGCTGTTAGCTATGGTATCCAGCTGGCACCTGGTAATGAAATGTTCGAGGATCTACACTATGTTACAGGGTAAACATATATACACTAGTGTAAATGGTTGAGGAAGGTTTGAAATGATCGAAGGTGGGGCAAGATGACATGCTTGGCTTTGTCCTGAAATTCCACGGACACCTGGGCGCAGTCGGGTACAGCTGAGGGCTACTTGGGAAGCTGCTACTTACCAACACCGTTAATTAACTCTTAGCTAAGGCACAGGAGCTCTGGGTGGGTGCTTGTGGTGCACGCTAGCTTCTCAGAAGAGGAGACAAATTTTGCAGGTTAGTGGCACAGGGTAATAAAGGTGTCTGGCCTGGGCATCACATATGTTGACAGAATCAAGAGTATTTCAGTACCTATTTCTGCAGTGAGGATATCCCGTCTGGTCTCCTAGTGAGCACAGTCCTTCTCAGGAAGGAAATTGGAAGGGTGGGTTGGAAATGGAGACCCAAATGAGTGCTTCTCCTTCATGCCAAAATAGCTCTTTGCAGCCCAGAGCAGTCTTGCTATGCCATGTAAACATGATCATTATTTTCTTTTCAAAAACATTTTGTAAAATTTGCTTCTTAAAGAAAACCTTGAAATCCTCACCTGTTTAATCCCATGTCACCTAATTCACTGAAAAACATGTTCATAAACATAGTGAAAATCATAAAAATTATAATGTTAAAATAAGGTGGGTAGTGCCACCATTTAAAAAAAAAAGTTATTCACCTTTCTGCCAATACTTTGTTTCTATGTTATGTCACTTGTACCTTTTTTTTAGCAGAAGTGTCCTCTCTGTGGCTGTCTTCAAACAACCCAGTGCACCAATGAAAGTGCAGACCTATATTTACTATTAGTTCTTGTTTTTTTTTAAAATTAAGCTGTTATTTCAAAGGCTAGACAAGATATTACAGTAATTAATCCAGGTTTCTTAGTCTTTGAAGAGTGGACAGCATAGCAGTTTGACTCAGATGAAGGTCAGCCACTGAACAAATTTAAAAGACAAGAAAGCAGAAATATATATATATATAGGCCAGTATTAACTCAGACAATGAGAGCTGGAGTAAACATATATTACTTTTCCTCTAAAGCAGTAGGATATCAGTAAAAAAATAAGAAAAGGAGAAAAGGAATTAGAAAAAAAACCTGTCAGATACGCTGAGGCAATAACAAGTGGGAGAAAATAACACTTTGTGTTAGGCTTATATTTGATAGCTATAAAACTTGAAAATGCTGTGCTGCACCTGAGGTGTGCTGTGCAGGGTAATTGAAATGAATCTCGGGCTGCCTTGAAGAACATTTAGCAGCTGCTCCTGTTTATCTTTTAGCTTCAGAATGATTTTAAAAGCATTTTTTATATTTTCCTGGGAAGATCAATTCTGGCAACTTTGTCTTTAAAATGTGCATTTTTATGTCACCTGCACTAAATGCAAGAAATTGGAGAATGACATCTGTGTTAAATATTACAGACCTCCAGTGTACCATGAAAGGAATTCAGGTGGTGTGGGACATTTGGCGAAATGGTATCACAACACCGATGCCTTTCTGTTTATCTAAGGAGCAAGCAATGAAACTCTCAAGATCACTAATGTCTCCTTCTTGCAAAAGCAATGAATCTGGTCTGCAGCTGAGGTATAAAAACCAAAGACAAAACCAAAACAATGCAATTTCAGCTTGGAAAGATCAAAAGAAGAGTAGTTTATGTATCAACTATATACTATATCACAATTTATCTTTATATAGCTCCTTCCAACAGAATGTTGCAAAACACTTTATAGGGACAGTTGAAAGCAAATGGCAAGCATTAATGCAAGCTTTAAAAGAGATTAAGCTATGGTTATGTGGCTTTGTTCCTGACTGGAGCTTAGATGTCACAGATGCATTTTTTGGCACTGTTCTACAGCTCTTGTGGGATTTTGGGTGAATCACCCTTTTTTCACATCACTTCTTTGTCTTTAAAATTGAATTCTGCTTGCTCTTGTGGTTTTTTCCCCCTTGCCTTATCTATCTAGTTTATGAGTGATCCAGCCCAGGGACTATCTGGAAAATGTAAATACTGTGCATGCAAGAATGAGACTCCAATCCATATGCTACACTGTAATCATAATTACTGCAGTAAGAGACTCATGATTTTTGAGCAGTGGAGGATGTGTTGCTGTGGAACAGGAACATAAATATACAGCAAATTATGTAAAAGATTGAGGGGGAACTGAATGGATTTTGGATCAGGCTTCAAAACTAATTGAGAAATATACTGCTGTTGAGAGTCAGTAACAAGACAGACAACAGTGAGAGACACTGAAATGGATGGAAAACCCAAGTAAACAGTAAACTGGTGGAAGAGGAATATAAAGTATGCCATGCAAAGCTGTCAGCTTGGTGCTCTGAGCATTGTGCAAGAAGTAGAGACTACAAACAGGAGAAATGTATTACCACAATGGGGCTGAAAAAGTTGTAGAAAATAAGAATATAAAAACTTTATGGGATTTTTCAGTCACTCTTCCTGAAATATAAGCCAAAAGAACAGATTTAGCAGTTGTAGAAAAGGAGGAAGAATACTTTCCTGTGAACTTTTCCATGTAGTGAGAATGTTCAGCTAAATGCAAGAAAAAATTGAAAAATGGGATCACTGACTGCAAATCTGCAGTCAATGGGTTCACGGACAGCAAAAACATTTACTTGTGGTGCAGTGGGATTTCCTGTCAGGGATATTAAAACTGTACCGTATAAGTTGGGAATTGATGACTGTGGATATTTCAACAATACTCACTGGCACCTCTAAAATGTTGAGAAAAGTGACAATACTCCATGTTTGTCAGTTCTTCGTATATATTTCAACTGCATTGACAAGTGATAATGCTCCCCCACTCCCTATCTCCTGCCAAGATTGCCAGCAGTAGAGGGAATTAATAATGATGATGATAATGATGATAAAGAAAGGGATTAATGAACTTGAAGGTGTGTGTTGGAAAACAGGGATGAAGAGAATCTGGAAGATGTGTCGGCATGGATACGGAGAAAACAACTCTAGATATAGGTGACTAGCTAGGGTAGCACCATTAGCATTTTTGTTAAGGTATGGTTTACGATGCCTAAGGAACGTCCGGTGTAAAGGATCTTCAGCAAACACAGGAAATGAGTAACTTTCACTGCTCTATATTTTGGAGATTACTATATAAACTGTGCCTTTCTAACAAATTTAAATTTAGGATTTCCTAAATAGTGGCTTCCCTGGAGAGAACGCTATTAATCAGGTCCGTTCCAGCACTTTGCCAGCTTTCACAAGTCTAGCACAAGCTGAACAGTACCGTCAGCAAGATATCATACATCTTTTTAATTAAAAAATTGATCCCGAGGTTATGCTGCCAAAAAATTAAAATGCTGCACATTATTTCTTATGTAAAAATTAATCTAAGAAACTATTTAATGAAAAGGTCATATTCTGAGACACGGGTTGTGGTTGCCTCACCATCCACTGAATGTGCATGCGTGTGCTCTGATTTGGAAATAGCAGTTAATCAGCATGGCACCCAGTGCTACGCTTGCTGCTGTCCTCTGCAGCAATGTTTCCAAGCACGAAAGGAACAAAAGAGAAATATGTTGGTTTTTGTAGAGGAAATAAAGGTCAAGCAAATTTTTAAGCAGCAGCTTTTTTTTTAACCTGTCTCTCTGTGTTCCTGACAACTCAGCACCTGGAATAGTCATGCCTGAAGTTTGAGGAAGTTTCCTTTCCTGCTATGGCACAATTCCAAATGTCACAGGAACATTATAAAGTGTACTGTATTTTGGAGAAACTTATTGAATTATGCTGCAGTAAATTTAGATTCACTGCAGGCTCACTCTCTGTAGTATCTTTCTTTTTCCATCAAACATCCTTCCTCCCCAAACACACACAAACATATTTTTGCTCACACCACCCACCTTCCGTCCCTGTACAATGAGATAATGCAACCTCCCTCCCAGAAAAAGACCTCTGGTTAAGATTGTGCTCTGCACTGAAGCCTGGTGTCTCTCACCCCAGGTCACATTTAGTGAAACACCCAGAGAGAAACATCAAAATCAACACTTTCCTTCCAAGCTTTCCAGCCTGAGTACCTTTCCTAAATCTGGTTTGACCTCTTTGTGTCAGGAACTGCTGCCTGACTCCCCAGGCAACCACTTGCCCTGCTAATCTAATTTTTAATCAGTCCTTGAACTCTGTCTTACCGTCTTGAACTCATAAAGCAGTATGGCTTTGCTATTATTAGTGATTCCTTTGCGCTTGCGTGATGGCCCTTGATCCAGCACCAGACTTTAATTCATTGCGTGTCTGGGGTTTGCAAAGCACAGTAGAGGATTACAGGAGCAGAGCAGAGTAGTTGATATTAAGTTCATGATGAAGCAGCTAATCATTCCTTAAGTCAGGGGACTTTAGACAAACTATTTTATTGAGTCTTGACTAGCACAGATCTAGCCATCATATTTTTCTGAAAGATCCACTTTCTCTGACTCTCTAAGCCCACACTGTGCACTCATGTTTCCCACCTGCTTTGTAGCAAACACTCCTGTAACTTGAGTTGTGGAGGTGACTGTGGATCAGTCTCTGGTACAGTAATGCAGAGGCTTTTGGTCGAGAAGATGCTTTTCCTTAATAGGATATTGATTATCAAGTCATCTTTTCCCCTTGGTGTGCAAATATTTCCGTGGGGTGAAGTTTCATTCCAACATACAGGAAATTCTTCTCCAAATAAAATTAGGCCAGAGAATATCAAACATATACTGTTTCTTAAACACGTTTGCCACCCGTGAATTTGGACATATAAACATGATATTTGACACACATTTATCAAAAATCTTCCTTAACATACCGGTAAGCTTACCTTTGCATCAAAATGTTAGTAGTGCTAATTAGAGACACATGCCACAGCTTGTCTATTCTATAGTACCTGGACCAACTGTTAAAATGTTAAGCAGAAGGGTTACAGTAGTCTGTTGATCCATGGAGTTTAAAATGCGTCACTGAGTAGCGGACCAGAAACAATCTGTGAACACTCCTCACTCCAGCTCACAGAGCAGGGCAACCGGTTCAAGATGAACAAGACACTACTTCATTTCAGGGAGCACGTGACAGCCCTCGCTCTGGCATGCACCCCCTCATAATTACATCACTGTATTTGAATTTACCACAAGAATCCCCAGTTTGACGCTGGGAAGGTTGTGTCATCAGCATGGCCTCTGTTTACAGTAGCTAGATTGTTTACTTATTTACCATTATATAGCAGCTTTTGTACAAATGAATCTCAAAGTTAAAAACAAGATGATATCTGATGAACATAAAAGGAACACCTTGTCTGTCACTGAGGTTAAAGATAAACAGTCCTTTAAATATGAACTTCCCACAATTACGAGGTATTTCAAATCAGCTGGTTTTTACAAGTTTTTAACGAAAACCAGTGATTCATTTTTACAAAATACTAAGAATTAATGGAGTCAAAGAAGAAATGAGTGAGAACAACTAAATGTCTGGTGGTTAGACATGTTCTTGAGGCAGGATACCCCAAATAATTATTTGCCAAGCAAAATACCATTAATGTGAGACATGGCATCAGCACAGGGCACCTATCCTATGACACTTCCACAGGCCATAGATGGGGACACTCTAAGGAAAGGTAAGATGTAGTTTCAGACCCACTCAAGCAGCTGAGGAAACTGAACCAGGCTGGTTGCCTGGCTTTTTCACGGACTTTGTGAAAACAGAGATGGCAAGTCCACCATCTTCCCAAGTTTTGTGAATAAAGCCAGTAAATTAAACTGTCTGGCTAACTCATCCTCATTTAAATAATTTTAAGATGACTGAATCTATAGCTACAGTAGAAAATGTTGAAGCAGAAACCTTTCCCAAGCTGATATTCGTGATTCTGATATAGTAAAAACTATCCCTTTCTGTTTCTCCCTCCTGCCTCCATGATTTTTCTCCCATTTTTTGTCATTCCATACAAAACAGCAGTCTTCTTTTTAAAACTTACGTCTGTTAAATTCTTCCAATAGAAAGTTGTTCCTATTTGGCAATCATTTCTAAAGAGTATTTTTTTCTTCTTTTAACACTAATAAGAAAGGACAGGGACCCTAGGGTCAGTATATACTGAGATGAATCAGGAGATATGACTGAAATGAGACCCAGGATGACACAGCTCCCTCCAAAAAAATTTATCACTTGAGCAAAACACACTGGGACAATCTAGTATCTCAATTTCCAGTGCTGTTACCATGGTTTCTGTACAAAGGCTGGAGAGCATTACAAGTATGTTCTTTGTGATGACAAATAAAAGGAATATTGGAAATAGGATAATAAAATCTTGGGTGACCTGTCAGAGACTGTTGTGACAGCTACTAGTGACTACTTACGTTTGCCTCTGAAACAACCTAAATGGACAGAAGGTAAATCAATATATTCTAAATATACTGTCTAGCTATTGGGTTCCCCTGCCTTCCTGTTTTATTTTGCTGAAGTATAAAAACACAAGAGTAGCACAGTTAATACAAACCATTTTGCTGTTCTTGATAACTCCTGTAAAGACAGCTTGGCAGTCCAGTGTTGGGTCACGCTATATGTTTTGTTCAACAGAATGGCCTCAGCTCTGTTGTTTTAATTGCTGTTGAAACTGAGATGCAGCAAGATGTATGATATTAGTCATGGCTGACATACTAAATTTATTTACTGAGCTTTACGCTGTCGGAGTTTGGAAGTAGGTTGGAAAGATCCTGAAGCTAAATGTGAATTGTAATTTCAGTTCCAAGCTTTATCCAAATATGCTTGACTCAATTCATCTATGTCATGAAATTCTATCAAGTCATTGACAATCTTTGCATGTAATGTTCTGGTGTCTTTCGGAATACTAGAAAATAATAAACTTAATTTTCAAAATTAGACAAGTTGGTCCTCATCAAACGAATGCAAATACCTATTTTACATGTGGAAAGTAACAAGACTTTCAACTCGACATGTAAAAGCCAAGTAACTGATTTGAATACACATGTTGACATAGAGGATATGAGGATATATCACGGCTGGTTGTACATAACCTGAGCACTTGAAAACTCCCCATATATTTCGTCATTACAATTATTCAAATGCAAGTAAAAAATCATCTGATTTTGAAAATTTGGCCAATAGATAACAGCTCATAGCAGCTGAGCTGATCTTGTGATTCACTGCTACTGAAAGGGGTTCTTCTTCCAATGACTTTCTCTTTCCATTTCCACTCATTTAGCTGAGCTGACTCCAGAGGAGCCTACCCCCAGAGATGATTAGACTTGTTGATCTGGGCAGAAAATGATGCAATTTTCTTTTTTTCTGGATTAGTTCTCTCTTGGCTTATTGAGCTAAGCTCAACACTTGAGCATGAAGTAAATGCAGTATCTGAGAGAAGGTAAGTGGAGAAAACTTGACAAAAGGAACAAGGCAGAACTTCATTCTTTGATGGTGGTAAGCTACCAGATTTTCAGAGGGAACTGCACTCAATATGATTTTTGTATGGCTTCTGGAGCATATATTTATGCCATAGTTCTCTGTGAAATTAGTGAAAATTCCTAAAGGAAAAAAGTAGTATTGTACTAAATTAATTTTAGTTAAAAGACAAAAGCCAGTATGAATGAAAGCATTATGATCACAAAGCATATGAGAAATGAAAATCCAGAGGTGTAAGACTGAGTCTTGTACCAAACAAGTAAGGAAGCATCGTATAAGGTGACTTGATGACTTACCTTAAAGGAGATTTCATACTGCTCTCCTCCCCATATTTCTAATCCTGGATCATAGCCTCCCAGCTCCCAAAACCATTTCCGGTTAACAGCAAATAGACCTCCAGCCATTACAGGAGACCTGAAGGAAGAATAAAACAAACTGTGAATAACAGGAACCTTCATGCCGTGCTTAAAAAACTGAGAAGATTAGCAACGTACATGGATAAGCAATAATGAAGATGTTTGGACCACGTCTGTGTGTGCTTGTGTGTGTGTTTGTGTCAATGTAGGCGGTCTGGCTTCCACAACTGCAAAGCTATGAAAGGTGTAGACAATGGGTGCTATAAACAAACCACATTTACCTTTATTCACCCCAAAATGGACTCTAGATGAGAAATAGGCAATGTGATAGACATATAGATAGATATAGAGCATGGTAGACAGTCATGCGCAAACTCCTTTTTAAAAAAAAAAACAAATTCTGTTCATTACTAAATAAACTGATATAACAGAAAAAGGAAGGGACTCTGGAAACCTGCCAAAGTGTTTAATGTAGTCTCAGTACTCCATGTGAAGTAACTCACATTTGAAAGTTAGCAAAACTTTTCGATTCATTTCAGTCTCATAGGTGCTGGCTAAAGAAAGGCGACAGCTGACGGCTACAGAGCAGCTATTGGGAGTTAAACATCTGTTTTTCTACAGCAGCATTTAAGACTCCTAAACTTTGTCTCACTGTGGTAATTTAACTCACAGGCAAATAATTTGCTATGTTTCCCATGTTTCCATTTATTCCATGAATAAACATGTGGAATTTACTTGAATTAACCCAGCCTTTTCCACAGACAATATAGAAAACAAATGAGATATTTAAAGTTAGTGTTAGAGAATATTAATGAAAAGTGCATTTTAAATTTATAAGCAGGAATTTTGTACTGGAAACTAAGCGTTTCTATTTTTTTTTTTTCCCCACTGCCAAGAATGCCATGTTTCTAATGCAGTAAATACATTGAGAGCTCTCAGGATTTAAATGCTGCTCACTGATTCCTTGAAGTTGTGGTGGAAGGGAGATAAAAGTGAACAGTGAGGAGACAACAGGCTGAAGAAAGTCCAACCCAACTGTTCAATTCAATCAATGCAGGTCAACGTTCGCATAATGACTTTTAGAGCAAGAGGCTAGAAGGAACACATTCCTGTTGATGGCTGGTCAGCAAGAGAAAAGGCACATAACTCTCCCTATGTAAGAGAGACCTGGATGGCTTCCAGGCAGTGCTTCCTTTTTGGAGAATAGACATGAAAGTGGATCCTCAGGTGCTTTGTAACACTGCAGCCCCTGAGGGAAAATTATCCCATCTAGGGGCATTTTTATTCTGAATTACTATTGGTGGTTTGTCTGGGGCTGCGGAAGCAGATGGTACCATCCCTGAAGAACTGACTGGCAAATAAAAACGTCACCCTTTGCCACTGATTTAGGATTTGGCAGTGAACTCAGGACTGGTAGGTATCACAGGAATCTATGCGTAAGTTAGAAGTTTATTAAAGAGGACATCAAGTTAATGGGGCAACATTCTGCCATCTTTTCTCTGCCTTAACACTTTTTATATTGCTATCTTTTATCCAAGCCAGTGGAGAAGGTAAAATAGCAAGCAGACAGTTGAGTGGCCTCTGCCACCGTTAGGATGCCAGTGAAGCCCCAGATGCATGAACGTTAGAAAATGATCCTTTCATCTGCATTCATGGTAATAAAAAACATTACAGATATTTTACCTTTCACTTCTATAAGATAGTTTTAAAAAAATACATATTTTAGATTATATCTTATATTAAACTACCCATTTTCACGACTAGGGAGCTCTGTTTTCAACCAGCTAATTCCATTTTCCTTTAGAGATTATATTTTTAAAAGCACATAGAAGCTTTGTGAAACAAAGCTGCAATATTCTAACTGGCAAGGCCGTGCACTGTAACATACACTGAATGCTAATACTTTTTTATTTTTATTGACATTTCATACCTCAAATATTGACTGTTCTTTCCACATATGAATAAATTCAATGGAGATTTTTTTGAAACCTTCCCCTGGGGATTCTGACTACTACAATACATTTTCAATTCCTACCGAAGTAAATCTAATTACAACATGCCCTTTGTGACTTCAGGTTCTAAATAATCAAAACACAACGTCCTTTTATAAAGATGGACTTGCATGGAGAATGCTTATAACTAAATCTTTACTGGCAGAAGAAATGAAGTCCCAGAAATCACTGGGGAAATGCAGGTTTTCTCTAATTCTCTTTGGTACAATATCTTTCCTGAACATTTCTCTTGACACAGTGAATGGCGTATGAAAAAGACAATCTCCACAAGTGAATCAGATGGAAGATGAAAAAATTAGAGACTTCAAATTGCAAAATAATTGGCAGATACTTACAAATGATACTTTATAACTAATCTGCAGATTTTTCCAGTGGTAATACTGAGTAAAGAAACCCTTTGTTATTTAGATGGTAGTTCATGAAAGTTCAGAACATTTATTACCATTAGCAAAACTACCAAACAATGACTGGAACAGCAGCAAACTCACGTTTCTTGCACTTACTTAAAAAAAAAAAAAAAGAAAAAAGATATTTCATGTAATGTTGCTCCATTCTTTTTTTGCTCCACAATATGTTCTGCCATTTGTTGCTTTGCAGGAAAAGTGATGGAGAGGACAAACAAGACAGCTTTTTGGTTTTCATTGGAGTGGGATGAGCAATAAGCTGTGTGAACCTGACCACTTGGCACACGATACGTGTTCCACTCCACGCCACAAGCAGCTGCTGCCGAACAGGCCTTAAATTGTCTCCAAAATATGAAGACAAGAATCCAGTCCTACAATCATGACTGATATGAAAAGTCCTTTTGTAGTCAATAGAATCACTCACACAGATAAGAACTGCCCTGAGCCCAAAGGAGAACTAATCTCTTGTTTAATGGCTTCCGTATAGAAATGTCAAGTACAAAGCTATGTTTGTAGAAGTAATTTTTCATGAAATGTCCTACTCAGACACTTAAACAATCACACTTGAGCTACTGTAGCATAATATTGTGTGAGTAATCACAGTGAGAAGCTGTAAAATACTTATAGTCAAAAATTTAAAAGGACAAAGACTCCCAAGACATCAGAAAAGCTGGAAAGGCTAAGGTTGCTAAACTTAAAAATAGTTATAAAAACTTTCCACATGAGAAGTACTGCACAGACTCACTGACTATACATAGAACAACAATATTGCAAGTAAAAGTCAGCTGATCCAAAAATGGCCCAAGAGGTCATAGATTCCTGTGCTGAGATGGAAAAAGAGTTTGATTTAGTGAGACTGCAAAAAACCCCCACCCCAACTCAAACCAGCAAAGAATTTTGTAACTTCTCATAATTTACATGCAGAGGAAGAAAAGAGATCACCTATGAATTTTCAAAATAAGAGAAAGAATGACACGGACTTAAAAGGAGTGTGAAGTTACTTGCATTAGAAATGAATGTGGTATACTGCAAACGAACTGCATAGCAGGGGTTTGGAATCATTACATTGTAAGAGTGATATATACAGTGGACCTAAAGGATCTGTGAAGATGTGAAAAGGAAAGAGGAGCTTTGACAGCATGCAGAAAGACACTTAGGAAAGCACCTGTGCTAGATGATGTGTGCAGTAGGTATGCTGATGTTGAGACTGGAAGATGCCCAATGACACACCTATTTAGTGTCATACGTCAGTAGATGAATGTAGATTTGTGCAATCTATTATTCAACATAAAGAAAATATTACACTGCGCATTGATCATTATTGAATTGAGATGATGATGCTGCATACTTTGGAAAAGGCTAACAGGGATCACCTGCCTGGAACAGCTGAAATTTGGTCATTATAATCATATCCAGTGAATGGCATATTGCAGTATGCAACTCTTCGTATAATCCAGACTGATTAAAGGCTCTGTGCTGTACTACTGTACAGAAACAGATGAATGCCAAAAAGACGTGTCCACCTCATGCAGGATATGTTAGACAAACTGACCTTCAGTGCCAAACCAGCTGGCACACAGTACAAAAACTGGAGTAAATGTCAGCCCGCATCAGGAGTCAGCGCTGGGTCCTGTTGAAGTTGTGGAGTCACGGATGTGATAGATGAGGAGGAAGGGGGCCGTGTTGCTGCTGGCACAGTGACAGTCCCAGAAATGACTGGTGACCTACTGAGTGCAGCTCTGAGCTGAGCTTGTGCACTTTTTATAGTGAATTTCAATGTCTTGTTAATCAAGGAGCGTGCCCCTGCATCCCAGTGATACCACGTGAAGGCACCTCAGAAGAGTGAATAAATTCAAATACCTTGTTTCAGTGGTTACTGCTCCTGGTGCTCTCTGCAGTGATTCCTGATGCTGCACCAAAGCTTCTTAAAGCAAACAGCAGAAGCTGACACTAATCCTAGATAATAAAAGGTTCTAATAAAACTAAAAATTAAAATTTATGTGTGTGTAATGTTAGAGACGGACTTGGTCGCTCACATGAAGTGAAGTGAATGTGGAGATAAAAGAAAGTGAAATTACGATGAGTTGATCAAATGGCAAGGAAGTGATATAGATTAATAAAATAAATGACAACAATATGAACTTAAAGGTTGCTCCAGCTAAAGATAAATTGAGGGACAGATTCTATACCGTGCATAGAAAAAGATGATGTAGCTGGAATCTCTGTGGATCAGACTTACTGAATTTTTCAAGTAAAATAAAAAGCAGAATCTTTTATATACTTAACTCTTTAACCAAATATATTTAAAAATGTATTTTTAAATGTACTGACTTTTTTACATTTAATATTTCTGGAATGCACTGTTTTCTTTTATCTTTTATCCATTCTAACAACATGAGTAATCTCCACGTTTATAAAATCATCAAAATTTAAAAAGTAAAACCTGTATCCGTGACATTAGCCTATGGGATTTACTCTTTCTTTTTTTCGTCAAGAACAAGTGTCAAGTCTTCTGAACAACTTTTCCCCTTGATGAATTTGTGCCCGTCTGTACTAAATGATCACACAGGGTTTGCAAACCACTGATGGTTTGCATTCCTGATGTCCACATCATTATCTCTTTAGAGAGTCTAGAAACAGTG